CTGCAGTTCAATTACTCACTACCTACACACATATTGTTACGTCACGCCGTGACCATCTTATATATACCAGACTACTCTATATCTAGTAAATGCTAGGGCATTCACGAAGGAACAAGATACTTCTAGAATTTGGCGTGACACTAGTCACGTGACCTCGCTGACGCAACAGTATTATATTTCTCTTCTTTTTATTTCAGATATTGTTCCAGAGCTTATTGAAAAATTCTTTCAGAAACCTTTACAACCAGGGCATCCAGTGTCTTTGAAATGTGTAGCTAAGGGGACTCCAAAGCCCCAGATATCCTGGTACCTAGACGAAACTCCAGTTGTCCGAACTGGAAGAATAATTGTTGCAGATTTTGTAAATACAGATGGAGCGGTAGTGAGTTACGTTAATATATCGAATGTTCAAGTTGAAGATGGAGGGAATTATGAGTGTGTAGCTAGAAATGGTGCAGGAACAGCAGCTTACGTCGAAAGGGTTGATGTTTATGGCTTACCTTTTGTTCGACCATTTAGAAATATTACAGTTGTTGCCAAGAAAACAATGATAGTTCATTGTCACGTTGCTGGATATCCAATTGATTCTATTCATTGGGAGAAAGGTATTTTTACCTTAAAATTGTATTGTTTTATATATAATTGCTTTCAAAGTTTCACGTAACAATAAGTTTGAATTTTGTTTGCTCATTTTGCAATTTCTTGTGATGTTTTTAATTAAAAAGAAATGTTGCTCAGTTAAAAATAAATAAATTGAATATATATGTAATTTTTCAAAATAGGCTTGCGATAACAAATGCATATTGTGTTTTCTTATCTCTCACTTTTAAAATGCATGTAAACAACAATACATAAAAATAAATCATCTTTTGTGCAATATTGGTCACTGAGAAACCTTGACTGTATTTCCTTAATCTCCTTTAACTTTCATCACTTATAGGAGTTTATGCATATTTTTTAGATTATTAGTCTTAAAATATTGATTTTGACTTTATAAATTAAATTTTGTCACTTAGGAAGGATTTCTGCAAGCATTAGTAAGTGTCAGTAGACCTAATGTGAGTAAATTATCTATTCTGTGTTTATTAATATAGTATTACACTTTCATTACTCATTCATATAAAAAAGTATTTCAACAGATAGTGGTGAAAACAAATTATAGATGCATAAACTCTTAAGATATTTTTTTATGGTCCACCGTTATTAGATAGTCGCCGTTTGCCATTCAACCATAGACAAAAAGTGCATAATAACGGAACCTTACAAATCAGAAATCTAGATGATAAAGAAGACGAAGGAGTGTACACTTGTGTTGCACGAAATAACCGAAGCCAAAGTGCCAGGGCCTACTTTTACGCTAATGTCAAAGGTGAGCTAAGAATCATAATTTTTTTAGAATAGGTTTTGTTGCTATTGTTGCAGTTTAATTACTTTACTTGAAAGAAGATTTTAAAGCTAATTTAATCACAGATTTAAAGAGACAAATAATGTTATTTTTCTTCTTGTATATATATACTGTTACGTTTCCGTTTGTTAAGTTGTTTTTCCGTAACTTCGTTCCGATGAAACTTTAGCGACACAAGTCCTTACTTAATAAAACTGGTTTATTTTTTCCGAATATAACTTTACGATACACTTAATTTCAATATTCGCGCTAAAACAAACACTATAACGAACGAACGTTAACTTCAACATTACGTCTCTCTCTGACTGCAGTTCAACTACTCACTACCTACACACACATTACCTTCCTCCGTCACGTTGTCACCCTCTTTTATATACCAGACTACCCTATATCTAGTAAATACTAGAGCATTCGACAAGGTACAGGATAGTTCTAGAAACGTGGCGTCACAGTAGTCATGTGACTCGCTGACGCAACACTGCCCCC